GTCACCTGGTAACTAACAAAGAACACCCAGAATAGTAGGCAGAGATCACAGAACAGTATAAAAGTCGGGAATCAAAGCAGTGGTTAATATATTACTGTGAACTGAGACTGGGGAGCCCTCTGTTCTGCAGCAAATGCCTAGCCAGCTTACTAATTTATTTTATCCAAAAACTGGGTTGACAAAAAATGATCCTATTCTGTCAATACTTTGGAAAATTATTTCCAATAGTTTGGAAATGAGGAAAATAAGGTTGCTCTGTGAGAATTAGCTGTAAAGTCAAGAATATCATTGATCAAATGTAGATATGCAATATCCCAAGGAGAGAGACAGAATATATCCAATATGAGAGCTTTCATAATACTAAATTTTCTATGTCAAAACATTAATTAATGGTAGAACTTGAAGAGAACTAAATAGTCCAAATATTATGACTCAGAAAGGTTATATGATTTGTTCAAGGACCCAAGGCCAGTTGTGAGCTAATCCGGCATACAGCCAGGTCTACCAGGTCCTAGACTATTGCTTTTCTGATTATAATATCCTCTTCTATATGGAATTTTCTGATTAGTTGGGGTCACTCCATCCTTAGTGATCTGGTTATAATAACTGAGTATCAAATTACCCTATAACTCCAGGTTGTAAAACAACCATTTCTGATGCTCATTGCATCTGTGAGTCACAGATTCAGATAGGGCACTGTGGGGATGGCTTGGGACTGGGGTCATCTGAAGACTCACTCACATGCTGGCTGCTGATTGATGGTGACTATCGCTGGGACCCCAACTGGGGCTGTGGGCCACAACACCTATAAGTAGCCTCTCCATGTAGCCTAAGCTACCTCACAACATGGTGGCTGGCTTCCAAGGGTGGGCATCACGAGAGAGAGCCAGACACAGGCCATATTGCCATTTATAACCCAGCTTGAAAGTCATGCAATGTGACTTCCACCCCATTCTTTTTTTGTGGAGGCAGTCATAAAGTTCTACGCCAGTTCAAGGGGAAGGGAATGGACTTCACCTCTTGATGGGAAGTGGCAAGGTTCTGGAACAGTATATGGGGTCAGAAACATTGCTGTGGCTACATTTGGAAATTGAAATCTGCTGCAATTAGAATTAAAAGCATTCTTTGCAAGAAGAAAACTGGAGGGAGGAAAGAGGCAGCCGAACAGCTAACAAATCACACCTGAAGGCTGACTGTACCCGCTCCCGTTCCTTTCCCTCTGGGGAACTTTGCAATCTGTGCTTATTGCAAATTGAACAGAAATAAAGCATTTTAACTCAACATGATTGAAGCTTTTATTTCATTTAACTGTCTAGTTTGGTGTATTGGAAAGTATGTTTCTAGGCTGTATCCCTAGCATAAAAGACTTCACAATGAGAGAAAGGGGAAAAATTATTTTAATTGAAGAGGTTATTTTTTAAAAATAGATCATGTGCTGGACTACAAAGAAAACATCAATAAATCTCCTAAAGCACAAAGTGCACAGACATATTCTCTGACCACAGAACAATAAAACTACAAATTAGGAACAAACATTTAAACAAAAATTTCCCACCCACTTGGAAATTTAAAAATACTCTTCTATACATCTCTTGGGCATAAGGGGAAATATGATTACAATTACAGAATATTTAGAAAATAAGAATAATGAAAACACTACAAATCAAAACTCATGGAATATGGCTAAAGTTATATTTAACAGGCATATAAATCAGTAAGGAGAGAATATGACAGCAGCAGCAGCAGCAGCAGCAGCAGCAATGGCTGACTTCATGCGTCAGGCACTATTCTAGGAGCTCTACATGTATCAACTCATTTGATCCTCACAACAACCTATAGAGAGATGGTATTATTTTCATTCTCATTTTACAGAGGAGCAAATTGAGACACAGAAGGGATGAATGATTTGAGCAAGATCATGCAATTAGCCCCTATAATATGCCAAGCAATATTCCAGGCATTGGGGCTATAACTTCGCCTGACCTAGGCAGGCAAAGTCCGTGCTCCTCATTACTGCTGGGTAGGAGCACAAGGTGTCCACTGATACCTTCCTGGCTGGGAGGGGAGGCCTCATTACTGCTCCACACGTGGCCTCATTACTGCTGGGTGGTGGTGAAAGCCCTGAAGCTCCACTAGGCCTCCTCTGACAGCACCCCATTAGAGAGAAGAAGGGGGCCTTGTTCCTGCTAGGTGGGAGTAGAAGTCTTGGCTCCCCATGTGGTCTCCACTGGTTCTGTGGAGCGGGGATGCATCATTACTGCCTGGTGGGGATGAAAATTCCAGCTCCCTACTTATCCTTCTCTGACGCCACCTTGGCAAGTATGTTGGGGGTGCCTTGGTGCAGCCTAGCAGAGGGTTGAAGTCTAGGCTTCACACTAGGGCTTTGCTGGCATGGTTGGGAGTGGGGCCACAGTTTTTTTCTGCGGCTTTTGGCTGGAGTAGAGCAGTTTAGAGAATTCTAAAAGTTTTCTATTTTGCTAGGCTTTTGGTGGGCAGATGAGGAGGCTCTTTGCTGGTTCTTTGGCTAAATAGAGCAAGCTTTTGTTGGGGCTTTTTTTGTCTGCGCCTGTTGGTGTTTGTGGGTTGCCAGCTTCTTCAGCTCCAAGCCTGGGATATATGAGGCAAACAAACAAACAAACAACATAGGGAACTAACCACTAAGACATTCCTCAGGTCCCAAAGTCACTAGCTGGTCTGCCTTCCTCTCCACCTTTCAGTCTTCTTATGTTTCTCTTACATGTAATGTCCAAGGGTTTTAGTTTTACTTAGCTGGAGGAATATGAAAAGGTATATCAGCTTCATCTTCACAGAAGAAGAGGTTTCCTGTTTTGTTCAGGAAAAAAAAAAAAATCTGACGGCATGTGCCCATTCTTAGAGCAGGAAGAGAAGCATAATGACAGAGAATCATTGATGGAGATGGTTTGATGGAGAAAAAGGGGCAGGATCCTCTGCACAAGTGGACAGAATGGCCTTAGATATGAACATGGATAGTTCATCCAAAGTCACAAGAGAAAAGCTGAGGCTATATCACAAATGCGGGAAGTTTGGTGGGCAGATGAGCGTCTCCAGTGTTAGATTCCATTTCATTCCAATGAAATAAGAAGGGAAGCCATCAACTGAGAAACAGGGGTGGGGTCAGGGAAGGCTGGGAGTTTGCAGAGAGAAGTTACTTTGAAGGGTGGTAGAGTGAACTGAATAGAGAAAGAGTAGGATTGCTGAGCATGCCAAAGCCACATAAATTTAGAAGGAAACCAGTCAGCATAGTTGCTTGTTTTCCTCCAGAACTAGGTACAGAGTAGGCAGATAGATGTGGGTTTAATCAATAACTGTTGCCAGATCAGATGTTAGAGGAGGAAAGAAGCAAGGACATAGAGGGTGTGTGTAAGGGAGTGATTATGATGGTGGAACACAAAACCAGTACCATAGCATGGCATAACTCTGGAAGGCACTATTTATATTGTATTTTGCAACACAAAGACCTGGCATAGACTTTCATCTGGATGAGGATGAACCTGAGAAAATGGACAGTGAACATTTGGGGGTGATCGGATTGGGGTCCTAACATAACTGAAGAATTGTTAAAATAGGACTGATAAATCAGAGGCACTCAAAGACAGGAGATGATGGCCATAGAGAAGACATTTGAAGTTGAGATTTAGGAGGTGAAACAGATATTGGAAATGAAAAGATATAGGGTATAAGAAGGTGTAGCTGAAGAGGGGTAGATGGAAGATTATTGGCAAACTAGATACCTTTAGCAACCTTTCCATTGAAAACAACTTAAAATGATGAATAAAATATAGAAATATGTTGTTAAATGCATCAATGAACTGGTAATAAAGTTTGGCCAAATTGAATTCAAAGCAAGGCCCTAGTGAGATGACCCAGGCACTGATGCTGGTCTTTCACTGAGGACTTTTGACAAATCAGGGGATCTTGAGTTCCAGTGTTCACAGCCTTGGAAAACATGGATAATAGGTGACAAAGTCCTGGTCCAGCCCAAAAAGAGCAGTCTAAAAAACAACATCCTACATAAAGCTCGAAAGGGTATACTAGAAATAAAACTGCCCCCACAGCAGACAACAAGGACATTTGCTTAACTTAAAATTTGGCACTGGGTAAAGGGGAAGAAAAATCTTCCCTGAAAGTTTCTAAGTACAAGCTGGCCCTTATGTATGAGTTTGGCTGCCTGAGTTGCACTACCTGAATGGTCTGGAAAACCTTCAAGCTGAGAATTTAGTTTAAAGTGGCCCTCCTTCAGTAGTACCCATGGGCACCTGGCAGAAACAAATGCAAATCCTTTTTAAATGAACTCTCTTCAATCTAGGCTTCAAAGAATTCCCATAGAAATATAAATCAACAATTAAAAAAGAAAACCACCATGAGTGAGACCCAACAAAAATAACAAGCTACTGACTATTGACCACAAAAACTTTAGTCAGGTATTGGAAGTATCAGATGGTAGAAAATTTATATACAATTACAATGATTATAGACATGGAAACTAGTGAGTCTTCATTTGCAGGAGATAAGATTTTTTACATAGAAAAAAACCACCATGAGTGAGACCCAACAAAAATAACAAGCTACTGACTATTGCCCACAAAAACTTTAGTCAGGTATTGGAAGTATCAGATGGTAGAAAATTTATATGCAATTTACAATGATTAGAGACATGGAAACTAGTGAGTCATCATTTGCAGGAGATAGGATTTTTTACATAGAAAATACAAAAGAATCTATACATAAATTAGAATTAAGATTTTTTTAGTAAAATTGCTACTTACAATGCCAATATTTTTAAATTGCATTTCTAGAGCCAGCCCTGATGGCCTAGTGGTTAAAGTTCAACGTGTTTCATTTCAGTGGCCTGGGTTCAGTTCCTGGGCATGGAAGCACAACACTGGTCTGTCAGTAGCCATGCTGTGGTGGTGGCTCACGCAGAAGGACTTACAACTAGAATATACAACTATGTACTGGGACTTTTGGGAGGCAAAAAAAAGAGAGAGGAAGATTGGCAACAGATGTTAGCTCAGGGTGAATCTTTCCCAGCAAAACCAACAACAAAAAAGCATTTCTATATATCAGCAACAATTAGAACATGTAATAGAAAAACAGATGTCATTTACAATACTAGAAAAAATATTAAATACCTAGGAATAAATGTAACAAAATATGAGTAAGACCTGTATATAGAAAATCATAAAATTATTGAGAGAAATTAAAGGAAACAAATAAATAGGAAGAGATACTATGTTCATGAATAGGAAGATTCAATGTTATAAAGTTGTCACTCCTTTTCAAATTGATCCATAGACTTATTTTACTATATTTAAAATCCCAACAAGGTGTTTGTTTAGATGAGTGGGCATTGATAGTGGAACTCGGCAAGTTGATACTCCAGTGTATCAGAGCTGACATTAAAAATCAGTTGAGAAAGTATTGGCTTTAAATAAATGATGCTGAGACAACTGGTTATTCATATAGAAAAATGAATCTGAACCTCTACCTCATCCCACATGCCAAAAGTCAACTCTAGGTGATGAAAGACTCACTATTAGGTAGAGCTTTAAAACCTTTTGAAGACAATATAAGAGAATGCCCTTTTCAATGAAAAGAATGGAAGAATTTTGGAAAATTCTTAGATTTTCAGAAAAGCACAGACATTAAAGGAAAATATTATTAAAGTCAACTACATTAAAACTAAGAACTTCTATTCATCAAGAGATACTATAACGAGTGAAAAGATGAGACATAAACTGGGAGAGGGTTTGCTCTACCCATGTGACAAAGGGTTAGTATCCAGACTACATAAAAACTATAAGCCAATAAGAAAAAATACAACCTATTTTAAATGGGAAAAACATTTGAATGGGTACATCACTGAAGAGAGAACAAATGGTAAATTAACATATGAAAATATTCTCAACTTTATTTGTAATCAGAGAAATGCAAATTAAAGCCACAATGCATATTATTTCAATCTCAGTCTGACAAAAATTTTTAAATGTGAAATATCAAGAATTAGAGATGTGGAGCCACTGAATTCTTATACACTGCTGGTGGGAGTTATTTCAACCATTTTGGAAGATAATTTAGCAGTATCTGTTAGGTTAAAAATAGGCGTGCCCTTTGACCCTGCAATTCCACTCTCTGATGTTTGACCTAGAGAAACTTATACACACATACTAGGAGATAGGTACAAGGATGTTCATGGTAGCATATTTGTAACAGCAAAGACTGGAAATAACCAAAATATTTACCAACATACAATGGATTAAAAATTATGGTATGTTCATATAATTGAATACTATACAGCAATAAAAATGTATAAACTGTAGTCAGCTGTAACAACATGGATGGATCTCAGGAACATATTACTGAGTGGAAAAAGCAAGGCACAGAAAGATCCATATAGTAAAACTCCAATTATATGAAGTTCAAAAGTACACAAAATTACATGTTATATATGTTCAGGCATATATGTATATGTGGTAAAATAGAAATAAAACAAAGAGAATGATGAGGAAGAAAGGATGGGATTAGAGACGTGCCCATAGGAGCTTAAATGCTTATGTCTTAAATAGGACAGTGGGTACACAAGTGTATTGATACTTTATTTTTTCCTTAAACATTTATTTTATGTATGTTCTTTTGTATATGTTCAATATTTCATAAAAATAAAATTTCAAGGCTCCTTGGAATTGAGGAGGTAAAAGAGGTTTATCATAGTGTGATTTCAGGCTGGAAAGTTGGAAACAGCAAAGGTCCCCCATAAGAGTCTGGTTAAATAAATTAAGGTACATTTATACAACAAAATAGTTAGCATCAATGAAGGATCATGAGTTAGAAGTGCATATACTGATATGAGAAGATGTTCCTTGTATAGTAGGTAAAAGAAGTTTCAGAACAATATGGTATCCCATTTGTATCAGAAACTAAAAGCACACGTACATAAGAATATAAAAAGTGCTTAGTCAGTACACCAAAAAGCTAACAGTGTTGGGATTTGGGCATTAGCTATTAGGATTACATATGAATTTTTTTCCTTCTTGATTTCTCTTATTTTTTTCCCCCAGAAACATATATTACTTTTATACCAAAAAAGAAGTCGGAGAAAGAATAACAAAGAATATCTAAGAAACATCAGAAAGAAGAATGTAATTGTAAAATATTTGGAAATGACCTTCACAAAATATGCTTTTTTTTTAAGAAAATGACTATACTTTTCTTAGAGTTAAAAAATGAGATTTGAAGATAAATGGATCTATCCATCTATCTAGTTTCTGGCTAAAAGACTAAATATAATAACAATTTAAATTCTTCCCAATTTAATTTACAAGATTAAAACAATTCTAAACGAAATCTCAATGAAGTTTTTTAAAGAATAAGTGGGGCTATTGATAATAGAATTCTGAAAATTAAGAATTAATAGGTTAGATTTGTTCTTATCGATACTAAAATGATGAAGCGACAACTGCTGAACCACTCTGATACAGCCAAATAGGAAGCTCTTAAACATCTAACAGAAAGTGCTCAAACGTTTCTTCGTACTTTTAAAAACAATGTATGATGAAGGAAATAACAGTAATTGAGAAAGTGATGAACTGTTTAATAAATGATGTTGGAATAATGGCTAAGGAAGGGTAGTTAATTTTTCACCTTAAAAGGTATTCTAAAATAAATTTGATGTGTTTATCTAAAATAAATTCTAGGTGTAATTTACATTAATTATGTAAAAAATTTAAAGCATTATAAAGAAGGGAACACAGAAAATATGTAACAGATTCACAATAATGTAAGTCACTAAATCCTGACTTTGCAGGACAAATTGATAGTCTTGACTACCAACGCTCTTTTTCTTCCTTTTGCTTCCTTTGGCTTCCGTGACAATCACTGCCCTGATTTTTCTCCTACCACTTTGGCTACCACTTCTTCAATTCCTTTGCAGGATTATCCTCCTCTGGAGGCCATTGTGTGTTTGAGTTCCTCAGGGCCACTCCTTGTCTACATTTTCTCCCAAGGTATTCACATTCATACCCATGGCTCCAATTACCACCTCTACTCAGGTGACTCAAATTTAACTCTAGCCCAGCCATTTCTTACTTATCAGTATTAGTCAGGGTCCCTGAAAGAAAAAGACGGCACACTCAAGATGGTAATTAAGAAGATTTTAGTTAAGAGATCATTTACAGGGGCCAGCCTGGTGGGGTAGTAGTTAAGTTCACGCATTCTGCTTCAGTGGCCCAAGGTTTGTGGGTGCAGATCCTGGGCGTGGAGCTACATACTGCTTATCAAGCCATGCTATGGCAGCATCCCACATATAAAAGATAGAGGAAGATTGGCACAGATGTTAGCTCAGAGACAATCTTCCTCATGAAAAAAAAAAGATTATTTACAAAAGGTTGGGGAAAGCAACAGAGGATAATGGCACAGTATCTCAGGGAGCTATTACCACCTAGGCCTAAAGAAGCAAGGAGATGGAAATGATTCCTGGATGAGAGAGAGAGAAAAGAGGAAGAAGTGGCAGAAAGAAGGGCAGGAGAAGGAGGAGGCAAAGGAGGAGGGTTTGAAGCAGGCGGGATGGAAAGAGGAGGAGGTGGGGAAGTGGGCAGGAGAGGAAGGGGAAGAGAGAATGCAGGATGTAGATAATATGGAATAAATATTTAGCCTTCACTCTCTTCCTTCAGTCTTCTGCCTGACCTCCCATTGGCTGAACCCAACAAGAAGCCAGAGAACGTGGACACCAGGTGCTGGGATACGTGGAATCTTGGTGCATTCCACACAGGTCAGTCTCTCTGGACACAAAGAATAGAGAGGGGTAGACAGTGGCTCTAGATGGACAAGCAGAAGATATCTACCTAATATTCACCTCCTACTTGGCTTCTTCTCCAGGAAATCCCGAGGGTATTTCAAACTCAAATGGGTCCAAAATTGAACTCCTGAAGGGCCCACTCCATACCCTCTCCTCTCAAAAACCAAACTAACAAAAAACCAAACTGGTCTTCTTTCAGTGTTTTCTATGTCATCAAATGGCACCAAGGTCAGGTCTATGTTTTCATAACCATATAGGAACGGATTGGAGTGTGGCAACGGTAGATGCAAATAGATCACTGAGGAAGCTATTCCATTAGTCCAGGCAGAAGTGCTGATAGAATGAGCTAAGGAAGGGTTGACTTGAACTGGATAGATGGAAGAGATATTTAGAAAGCAAAATTAATAGGACTTGGTTGGATTGGATATGGGAGGTAAAGGTAATGTGATTATCAAAGATGATATCTTCAATGATTTCCCATAAATCTTCAGGAGGAGGCACAACTCCTTAACAAGGACTTCTTGGCCCTGCCTGGTCAGCATCCCCCACTGCCTACCCTCTGACTTTTTCACCTTTATCTCATACCAGGCCCCTCTCAGGATGTGGGCTATACTTACATTCTTTCAGTCCTTCATATTTCCTGTGCTTGCCCCTGAGCAGGACCTTTGCATCTGCTACTTCCACTGCCTGTAATCCTCTTACCGGCTACCCAACTCCTCTTTATTATTCATAGCTCAATCACCACTTCCCCAGGGAAGCTTCCTCTGACTTCTCTAACTAGATCTAATTCTCCTATTAAAGGTCTCATATATTGTGTCCTTCCTTTTGTAGGATCTATCCATTAGCAGCTCACACTCATTTGTGTGGCTTTTTAGTTAATGTCTAACCCATTTTCAATCCCCTACTATGACATAAACTCCATGAGGACAGGGACTGTGTCTTTATTGGCTCATGTATATAGTCTTATTGCCACTCATAGTGCCTGGCACCTTGTAGTTCATACATACACACATTCTTTAATGAATGAATAAATAAAAGTAAAAGCAATGGAATAAGTCACAAAGAAACACACTGACGGATTTAATAATTTAATTATAATCTCTATATTAAACAAGAGAAAAGAGTAGATGATAAGTGATAAACTTGGAGACATATTCATAATATAAAGACAAGTAAGATTATATCCTCAGTAGAGTTCCTGCCACATCAACAATAAGTATATTAATAATAACCAACAGGAATCAACAAAAACAAACAAAAACCTCCCCAAATCCCATAGAACAGAAAGAGTAATGAGAACTTGTCCCTGTAAAAGTCGAAACTCTAAATCAAACTGACCTAAACAATAAGGAAATGTGTTATCTCAGGTAACCAGAAGGACAAGGAGGGCTTCTCTTAGGATCATCAGATGGTACCCAGCAACTACTGCAGGCAACATGCTCTCTTGTTCATTTCCGTCAGAAGGGAGATAGAACCTCTTTCGTAGCAATGAAAGACAAGTCCTTCTCTTCAGCCTTATTGAGTCAATCTAGGACCACCTGGCTCAAACCTGCTGTCAGAGGAATGCCATGTTCTGATTTTGAACCATTCACCAGCAAGAGAGATTGGATTACCGTGCTTGGTTTATGTTAATCAGTACCCATTCCTGATGCGGAGGTCAGTTCCAGAAACCACACTGGTATTGAGGAGCCAAATACAATGTCCACTAATATTGGCCACAATCATAAGGGAGAAATGGTCAACCTTAGGAGTGAGAAAGATACGAGAAAATAAAGTCATAAAAGACATAAAATAAAGCGAGGCATCATGTTCAATTTTCAAATTTAAAGGTTGGTTGCTTTTTAAAAAATTTTATTACTCATTGAAAATGGATTATAAATTGATTTAACCTTTCTGGAGGGCAATTTGGCAATATATGAAAAACTTTTAAAAAATAACAAATTTTGGAAAGTATACGTGTGTGTACAAATAAGAAGGAAACACACAAAAATGTTCATGAGGTTGTTACTGGCTGGTAAGGATATGAGTGATTTTTATTTGCCTTTAAATATTTTTCAAATGTTATTTAACAAGCCTCGTTTCATTTGTTTAAACACAAAGAATATAAAATAACCTGTTATTTCAGAACATGGACAACTTTTAGTCGGGAATGTCCTCTGGAAGCTTAAGTAGTGGGAAAAGTAGTTTCAGGGATTCATTTGCTCTCTTAAGGTGATGAAAAGAAAATAGCAATCAATCTGAATCAAAGATTTTAATTATGGAATTCTTTGCTTCTGGAGTTCTAGTTTAGCCAGACTGGTCTGGAATCTAGAAAAAAAAAAAGAGATCAGGTATAAAATCCTGCAGAAAAACACGTAGTTGTAACCGAACATTTAGTGTAAAGCTTGTTCTTCTAATTCAACGTTTAATTCAACTCCACAGGCCCTTGCCTACTGGTCCTAGTGAGTAAACAGTTGAGCCCACATGACCAGACTTAGCTTGATTTAACGTCACTTTCATTAAGGAAAATAGGTTGGACCTTTTTAAAAATACAAGCATAGGAAAACATCCAAATTCATGTTTAAGTTGAGTCTGAACACCTCAAATAAAGGAATGTGTGTTACTGACCTAGGTTTTCCAACAGATATTTAACCCAATGTCAGGATGTTAATTAAATCAGTTTTATTCAGTGATGAGGTTCTTTCTTCAGATTTAATTTGATAATTTGCCCCAGTTTTTCTCAGACCACTCCCTTAATTCTCTTTCTGCCTCTACCATCACGACTATAAGTGACCTTGGACAAGTCATTGAATCGTTGCTGTATCCTTCCTGAAACAGGCCTTGTCATGGATTTCCCTCTGTGTAAACATCTCTAAAGTTTCATTCAAGTGGAAGATCAGTAAAATCTCTCCACCAATTTGGGTAGCCCCCAGGCTAATGAGGGAGTATTGTCCTTTACACAGTCCTCCTTTTCAAGGCTTACAAACAGATCTTTCACCTAGATAACAAGGGAAGATGCCAGCAACAGATTCTACCCCATCCGTCTCCCAGCAGTTACAGCAAGCCAGCAGCTCAGCCTGTGCCTAAATTGGCCATGAACAGACAAGTGAGGACAGCAGAGAGGCAGGAAATGGGGTTAGGTTGATTTCCATCTATTAGCAGCAGCTTAAACTGGCGTTCTGGGCAGCTCTGTCTCCCATTGGCTACAGCTGCTGAGAGCAGCAGGATGAGGGTTGACCTATATCTGTCGGGTGTAAGTCAAACCCTGAATTTGTTTGTAGCAAACTTCAGTGTTCCAGAACGCCAAGTTTAACTTACGCCCAACCACATACAATATTTTTATCAGGAACCGTGGTATCCTCCACCTGCGAAGAACTGACATCTGTGGGTTTCCCCCCCTCCCAGATTCTTTTGCATTCTCACTGCCTCTCCCTCCTGTCACCCTCTTACCATTTTTGTCCCCCTGCTTCTGTGTCACAGCTGTGCTCCTTCTAGCAATCACAGTAACAGCGGCCATTCTCTGCCTGCCCCCGTTTCCACCTGACCAAGTTGTGCCCATTCCTTTCCGTTGTGTCCCCAGGTTGGCACTGCCTCATACCCATATGTGACTTTCTGGGCCACCAAGAGTTTCAGAATGTATCACTTGCTAATACAACTGCAGCTGTTGACAGAAATTCAGTACAAACACGTTCAAAATGTGGGTAGATGCTTCTTAATAGCTTTTAAAGGCCAAATAATTTATTCTTTTTCTTTAAGATAGAATTTAAGTATTTGGACACTTATTTTCCTAGATTAGAGAATAAACTACTTGAACTTTCTTTTATGCAGCCACCATCCAAATGTGGCAAAGCTCCTTTCCCTTTGTCTTAGGTCTCAATCAATATATGTGTGTTGTTTTGGGTCTCAGTGAGTATGTGTATGTATTTACTTACACTGACATCACAATATGAAACTTAACCTAGTCAGCTCTGCCTTCATACTAAAGCATCAGTACACTGTAGGCTTCTATTTATAATGCAGAAACTGCTCTCCATTACCTATTATCTTTTCTTCGCTGAGGCCCTGTAGTAACAGAAAAGAAGCCCAGATGATGGAAAATTTTTCTAGCAACTCAGGTCCCCATGCACACAAGCCACATTGCAGTAATTTGAGATGGAAAAGACCTATTAAGTCATCCCAGTGATTCTCTGAGGGCATGTGGTGGTTTTTCCCTCTCCAATATGCTGATCTACTTTTTAGTGCCTTTTCCAATTGTAAATGGCGCAAGTGATGGGGCTACCACCCCTCCCGGGGGATGGGGCAGCACAGTCTATTATAATAGGTCTCTCCATTAGGGCATGAGATTTGCTCTGCTGCCTAAATCATCCTTGTTTTGACTTTCATTTCCATCACTCCTCCTGCTGTCCCATTGGACCACACTAGATAATTTCTCTCTGTCCCTGCTGTTTACACCCTTCAAGTACTTGCGGCCAGTGAACTGGTCCCTGTTAGTCAGAACCGGTGGTCATGCTGGGAGACTTGTCTCTTTCATCTTCCCTTCGGGCTTCTAAATCATATTTGTTGCTCTTCGATGAACGCCCATCAGTTTCTCAATAATTTTCCTCATTTCTTTGTCACTCACACTGCTCAGGAAAATCCCTCTGTTGCTGCAAAATAAGATGATGGCAGAAGACTCTGCTTACAGAAAACAGAGCAGATCTCTTCAGCCACCAGGCATCTCCTACCCCCAGGACACTGGAGTCATCAGGTCCCTTATCTTTAATTCCCTTCCTTGGGGTGCTGGAACTACTGTGTTACTAGGACTTGGGTGTGTACGTAGAGACAGGAAGAGTTGATCTGTATTTCATCCTGCCAGCTTTCCTTGTGTTGCATTTAGTTAATGCATGCCCGTTAGCTGTTTAAATCATAGTTTACTGCCCATCTCGATTCCCAGTTGGAAAAGCTTTCCTGAACTCTCTCAAGAGGATGTGGTAAATAATCCCACATTTATTGAT